CTGCTTTTTTTACATCTCAAAGGTGATTGGCTTAAGACCCACCTTACATTGATATGGTCTCATTAACATAACAAAGAAAATACTACCCCCAAGTGGATTATACCTACATGTACAGGAGTTGAGATTTACATAATTTTGGGGGACACAATTCTATCCATAATAGGGTGGGGAAGAAAGTATGCAGAAGACAGGGACATAAGTTGCACACTGGGACCAACTTGGTCAAGAGGTGGGACCACCTTTGCTCAAGGTGACAGCTCTCTTCTCTCCTCCTCTCCCTTGTTACAAGCTTTGGCAGATTCCCTTTCTGTTTATCATTACATCCCCAGGGCCAGGGACACAGCAGATCTGAAATACTTGCTGAATTGAAAATGCATAAGGCTGGGCCCATAACCACCTGATTGCAAATAACCTGCCAGGCCAGGCCTCTGTTCTCACTATGCCTGAAGTTCTTGGGAAGAAAAATGGAGACACTTCCCCATTCCCTAAGCCCCTCCTTCTTTCAGGTATTAATCTGGGTAGGACTAGGATATACAAGTCAAGGCACACACTCAAAGCACTGTCTAGACCCAGAACTCTAGCACAGTTGTCAAGCACCCAGGAGGCCTTCAAAAATGTTGAACAAAGGAATAAATCAATCCATTCCATGCCAGGCGAAGACCTTAGAACCACCATGTCCACTCTCTTGACTTCAAAGCAGACCTGACCAGAAGTTGTCTCTTGTGTTGAAAAGTTCACCAGGAACATTAGGGTTCAGCTGGCTAGTACACTGGGAAATATTAGGCCATGGTGCCACCCACTATCTGTCCGTTTATCACACTGTGGTGGCTTATATGTTGCTATGAAGTTGGAAGCTATACCACTGGTATTTCAAATAGTAGCAGGGTCACCCATGATGGGTAGGTTTCAGTGGAGCTTCTAGAGTAAGACAGGTCTCATGATCTACTTCTGATAATTACCTACTGAAAACTCTACTGATTACAATAGAATATTGTCCAATACAGTGCTGGAAAATGAACCCGTAGGTTGT